AACACAGGAAAACAGCCAAAATGAAGAGACAAAGAAACATGTCCCGAATGAAAGAAAAGAACAAAAGTCCAGGAAAAGAACTAAATAAAATGGAGATAAGCAATCAATTAGATGCAGAGTTCAAAACACTGGTTATAAGGATCCTCAAGGAACTTAGTGAGACCTTCAAGGAACTTAAGGAGCACTCTAGAGAACTTAGTGAGAACATCAACAACATAAAAAAGGACCAGTCAGAAATGAAGGATGCACTAACTGAAATAAAGAATAATTTCCAGGAAATCAATAGTAGAGTAGGTAAAGCCAAGAAGCTAACCATTGATTTGGAATATAAGAAGCAAAAAACACCCAATCAGAACAGCAAAAAGAAAAAAGAATTTTAAAAAATTGAGGATAGTGTAAGGAGCCTCTGGGACAACTTTAAGCACACTGACATTTGCATCATAGGGGTGCCAGAAGGAGAAGAGAGCGAGCAAGAAATTGAAAATCTATTTGAAAAAATAATGACAGAAAATTTCCCTACCTTGGTGAAGGAAACAGACATACAGTCCAGGAAGCACAGAGAGTCCCAAACAAGATGAACCTAGGAGGCCCACACCAAGATACATCATAATCAAAATGCAAAAGGTTAAAGACAAAAAGAGAAGCTTAAAAGCATCAGGAGAAAAGCAGTTTGTTACCTACAAAGGAGCTCCCATAAGACTGTCAGCTGATTTCTCAAAAGAAACTTTGCAGGCCAGAAAGAAGTGGCAAGAAATATTCAAAGTGATGAAAAGCAAGAACCTACAACCAAGATTACTCTATCCTGCAAAGCTATCATTTAGAATCGATGGATATAAAAGAGTTTCCCAGACAAGAAAAAGCTAAAGGAGTTCATCACCACCAAACCATTATTATATGAATTGTTGAAGGGTCTTCTTGAAGGAGAAGAACAAAAATATGAACAATAAAATGGCAATTAATACATATCAAAATTGAATCTACAAACAAAATGAACAAGCAGAACAGAAACAGACTCATAGATACAGAGAACTTTTTGTTGCTTGCTAGATGGGAGGGGTTGGGGGGATGGGTGAAAAAAATGAAGGGATTAAGAATTACAAATTGGTTGTTAGACTGATGAACCTCAAAGGGAAGTGGGGAGGGAGGGTGGGAGAAGATAAACCAAAGAACTTCTATGCATATATGCATAACCAATGGACACTGACAATAGTGTGGGGAAGGCAGGAGGGGGGCGGGATTGGGAAGGAGGGGTCATTGGGGGAAGAAAAGAGGGGACATCTGTAATACATTCAACAATAAAAATTAGTTAAATAAATAAATTAAATTAAGCAATTAAAGGAGAGTGGGGTAGGGGCTGAAATTACTATTTTTAGATAAGTGATCAGAGTTGCCTCATTAAGAAATAGAAGTAGGTGAAGTGAGCTATGTGGATATCTGAGGGAAGCATGTACTAGGCAGATGGAACCACCAATGCAAAGGCACTGAGGCAGAAGTGTTCCTGCCTGAAATAAGGACAAAGAGTAGAGTGAGGAAAGGAGAAACTAGGAAGAGATTAAGTTAGATGGGGAGTAGAAAGGGGACAGATCATAGATGCCATAGGGCTTTGTCCAGTGAAGAAGCCACCATTCATATCTGAAAGAAACAAAAAGTGCCCAGCTCTGGCCAGTTTGGCTCAGTGGTTAAAGCATTGGCCTGCGGATCAAAGAGTCACAGGTTCAATTCCAGTCAAGGGCACGTACCTCTGTTGTGGTTCAGTTTCTGGCCCTGGTCAGGGTCGTGCAGGAAGCAAACAGTCGATGTGTCTCTCTCACTTCGATGTCTCTCTCTCTCTCTCTCTCTACCCCTCACACTCTGTCTGAAAATAAACGGAAAAATATCCTCGGGTGAGGATTTTAAAAAAAAAGTGCCAAATACATTTCTTGCTAAGCAGCATTGTAAGGCAGAGTATCTCTGAACAAACAAATCTGTGGTCTTAGTGTTTTGGGAAGCATGGAGTTTAGAGATTAGCACTTTCAGAAGCTGAACTGTTTCGAGTTGAGTTGAACTTTAGGAAGCAGCAGGATTATTAGAGTGTGGCGATTGCTGATTCACTAACTTTCCAAAGCAAGGACTGTCACTGGGAGTTTGTCACTGATTGATTAAAATAGAATCTGGCACTGGCCAGTTTGGCTCAGCGGTTAGAGCGTCAGCCTGTGGACCAGAGAGTCCCAGGTTCGATTCCCGCTAAGGGCACGTACCTAGGTTGCAGTTTGTCCCGGGTCCTGACTGGGGTCGTGTGGGTGGCAACCAGTCCATGTGTCTCTCTCACATCGATGTTTCTCTCTCTCTCTTCCTCCCCCTCTTTCTGAAGATAGATGCAAAAGTGTCCTTGGGTGAGGATAAAAAAATAAATAAAATAAATAAATAAATAAATAAATAGAATAGAATTTGGGGGTTACCTGTACTATGACCAAAGGACAATTAGTTTTTTCCCTTTGTTCAACTTGGAAGGATCACTCTGGTTGCTGTGTAGGCCAGGGCCGAAGCAGAGAGACACATTAGGAGGTGAGAGATGTGTTTTGAACCATGGTGGTAGTGGTGGGGGTAATCAGAACTGTTCCCACTTGGGATATATCTATGCCAACAAAACAAACAAGATAATCCAGTTAAGGGTTAGTGTGTTGGCGTGAACATAATATTTGCCTTCACATAGGATGAAATGACTGGATGACGTACAGAGAGTAACTGGGTGGGGCTGCTTCAGGAGTCAGAGAAAGCCTTTTTGAAGAGGTGAGGCCTCGAAGATGAAAAGAAGCCAGGTAAGACCTTAAGGCAAGAGGCTGGTGTGTGTATGTCTAGAAGGTGGTGAGGTTAGGGGCAGGGGAGAAGGGAAGCAGGAGCCAGATGCCTCCAGGCCTTTGATGCATAGAATGGATTGCGAAGAGGGGCGAGAGTCCAATGGAGACAATACTGTAATAGACACCGTCATCATGGGAATTCTATGAGGCCTCACTAAAGTAATAAAGTAAAACCCAACTGAGAAGTCTTCATTGTGCCAGAGATTGTTTCATTGTTTGCTAAATTATGACTCATAAATAATGGTATAAACTAAGGGGCAGCTGTGGTGTGCATACACCATACAGTCACCTGTCCTTTGTCCTCTGACTTTAATGCAAGGTCTAGATTAGCTATGTCTTTCCCAAGGCTAAATTGTGATCCACATCTCTCTTTCCCCAAGTGATCATGGAAAATGGTTAACATTTATTGGGGGCTTTCTGAATACAGGTAGAAAAGGACAGGTGTCAAGGCAGGAAGACCTGGGATTCAACTGCAGAGAGGGTGTGGATTAGGTGCCCTGGATAGCTCTCAGGGGAAGGAGAGTGCTTTATTCACTTTTTAGCCCTAGGGTTCCTAGCATAGTGCCTGGTAAACAGTAGAAGCTGAATAACCTTTTTGTTGAATCTGAATTAAGCATGTACATTAGATCAACGGTACTGAAATAATACATTAACTCAGAGAAAACAGTCATCTTTGCATCTTTTGGTTCATCATCCAGTGTGTGGATTAGTCATACTTCTGATTCTACTACTTTGTTTTTGTATTTCCTGCCTTTGAGTACATCATTTCACTCCAGAAACTCTACTTTATGGGTAATCTTAGAGAAAGGGAGAAATGAAACGCAGAACAATTTTACTTACTCTCTTTCTTTTCAGTAAACAGCTATTTTAAAAAGTTTGGAGATTAAAATTCATATCACATAAAGATCTTGAAATAATGAGCCAAAAATCTCAGGGCTTTCTATGCATATTTATGTTAATTCCAAACAAGCTAAGAAGTCGCTAGTATTACCCCCATTATGGAGGTGAGGAAACTATCACAAAGAGGTAAAGTTATATGGCCAGAGTCACATTCTTCCAAGAGGAGCTGGAATTCAAATCAGGTTGTCTGTTTCCACAGTGGCATTGCTCCACATTGCTCTTGGAGTAATTTGGAGACTTTCATTTGTCTTTGCTTCTTTATTTGCTCCGGAAATGTTAAAATATGCGGAGAAACAAAGGGGCTCTATAAATAAAACATGGCTATATATTTCTAAATGATTAAAGCTGGAAAGTTTAATGTGGCACTATGCCACTTGTTTAGTGGGAGTAAAGGAAAGGCAATTCCCGGCTCCCTTTGCAGAAATCCTGCCCCCCTTTGCAGTGAGTGGCTATTGGCTCCGCGCCCATCGTGATGGTTGCAGCCCAGGGAAGTCCGACCCAGACTGCAGTCGGGGAAAGACAGCGGGAGAGCTTGGCTGCACCGAGGAAAGCACGGGCCATGCATTCTGGCAGCCTAAATGTCATCTGGTTGGGAAAACCCACATGTCAGATTGCAACTACTATGGGTGGAGTTGGGGGAGGGTGTGGACGCAACATTTTAAGTGGGGGCGAAGGCAGGCTAGGCATCGTCTTTGGATTAAATCTGAAATGCGAACACCGAAGCTAGTGACCAAATCAGAGGGAGTGTTGTGCACTTGGCAAAGTTAACAGGGAGGGACACAAGGAAAACACGAGGTGCTGAAGGCGGTCCAGGAGATAACTGCCATTCAAATGCACCCGGTGGCTCAGGTGTCGCCCTGGCCGGCAGCTTCTGCCCTTGGTTTCCCCTTTTTAAGAATCGAGGCGCAGGCCGGCTGCACTCAGGCAGGTGAGACACTTCCACGTGGGAGGAGGTGGGGGCTGGAGAGAGAGAGATCTGAGAAATCACGCTTCGCAGAGGCCCGGGGAAACACCGTGGGAAGAAAGCCCGCAGAGACCTTAGCAGCGAGCCGGATCCTGGCCCCTGGAAGCCCCGGCTCCGCAAATAGACCGCGGGCCTCCCAGACCCACGCCCCGCGGCCCGCACCCGCTCCGCAAGCCCGCGCAGGGGTGGCGACTCCGCGCACGCGGCGGGGCCGGGGCGGAGCCAAGGAGGGCGGGCGCGCGGGAGGAGCGGAGGGAGGGTGTCGGGCCGAGGGAAGCGGCCCGCGGCGGAGGGAGGGGAGGCCGAGTGCTGGAAGCGGAGCTCCGCGCTGGGACTGGTTCCTTCGCAGCCATTTTCTGTCCAACCAAACAGCCGATTGGAGACGGGAGCCAACCAGGGCTGCATTGGAGGTTTGTGTCTCGCTTCGGCCAATGATCGCTCCTAAACCGACTCCACTTTAGCTCGAATGAAATGTCCGTCTCCTCCCGGCGCCGTCCCCGCCGCCAACGCCGCTGCGGCCGGGGGCACTCGCCTCCCTCCCGCCCGCCTCCCGCCCGGCCGGGGCCGGTTCGGCGCCTGCGAGGCCGCTCCCGCTGCGGGCCCGGTCGGGGAGCGGGCGCGGGGCCGCGGCGCGGCTCTTTGTGCGCCGAGCCGAGGAGCGGCGGGACGCGGGCCAGGCCGCCTCCCGCTCGCCGCTGCTGAGCTCCGGGCCGGAGGCCGAGGAAGGGGCACGGGGCACCGTCGGGCCCCCTGTCGGCGGCGCCCCGGCCGGCTCCATTTTGTGCGGAGAGCCAGCCAGGGGGCGGGGGGACGCGGTTCGGACCCCCGGCCCCGACCCTGCCCCTTCGGCCTGGCAGCCGCGCGGGGGTCCCCGGGAGCGCCCCTCTTCCGCCCGCGGGGCCGTGCGGGGCCGGGCCGCTTTGTCTGCCCGGGCGCCTGGGGCACCGCGCGGCGGGCGGGCGGCAGGCGTTGGGCGCGGGCGCGGGCCCTGGGCCGGGCGAGTCGGGGGGATGCGCGCCAGGAGCGTCCGCCCCGCGCTGGCGGGACTGACAGATCGGCCGGGCTGTGGGGCCAGGGTCGGCCCGCGCACCTTCGTGGGGAGGAAGCGCGGTCCCGGGAAGGAGCCATGGATGTGGTGCCCCCGCAGTCCGGCTTGCACGTCAAGAATGCTGCCTTCTGGCGGCTTGCGGTCTCTGGGCTTGCCCCGAAGGTGGGAAGGAAGCCTCTTGGATTGGACTGAGGTTTAATCTTGGGTGGGAGGCGGGGAGGATGTGTCAGGCCTTAGGAGCAGTCGTCTCCGAGAACAAAGAATTACTGAGCACCCACAAGTCGTAATCTCCCCCAAAGTACTACAAGATAATTTAAACAAGCCTAGGTAGTATACGACCTTAAAAAAGGCAGCATCCCACTAACCCTCTTGGACTTCACAGTCCCGTAGGTCGTGCCACCAAAGACGGGTGGTTGGGCCCTCAGTATGCAAACTGATCAACAGAAAGTGATGAGGTAAACCAGTCAATATAATTGGCATTAATAGGGTTTTTTAAAAATAAAGTAAAGTTTAACCAGCGTTCCTTAAAAGGCAGTTCAGTTACTCCTTTTCCGCACTGCTCTTGTAGCTTAATGTAAGGACTATTATTGATGCAAAACTCTGGTTGTTGATGCAGAGGAAGGGAGGGTGGAGGAAGGGTCTGCTGCTTTTCTTGGATACAGATTTGCATTTTTTCAAACATTAAACAGATGTATGCATTCCCTTGAGCTTTCACATATATCATAACCTGCCTTTAAGAAAATATATACCATATGAGGTGATAGCGTTTTTCTTTAATATACTGAATCTAAATACTCAACTATTTGGGTGAGTGACTGTGGTGAGGTGTAGACCCACCCCCACCCCCAAGCACAATATACAAATATATATACGGCTCTTAAATTTTAAGTGTTGTGAGGATTTTTTTCCCCCAAAGACATCCTTAAAAAAATACTTCTAGCTACAGGAAGGGATTTTCTGGGCAATTTGGGGGAGAAAGAGGACAGTATTTGAAAAGAAATTAAAAATTGCTTTTACAATTATAGCAGGAAAATGTCAGCTTGTCTTTGCTGCCTCTACCCTTGTAATGGCTTTTTAAAAATTCAGTTCAGTGGCTACAGTTTTTTTCTGTTTACTGGATTTCATGCTGGAATGCTTATGATTATTTTTTATTCCCTTAAAATGAACACTAAAAGGGTGTTTTTGTTTTGACACCCCTCCTTTATTGTTTCACTTGATAACAGGAAAAGAACAAATGAGAATGAAGATTGTAACATTAGTTATTGATACCAATTTATTGAGCTATTTACAGTGAGAATGAAGAGCTATTCAGATGCAATTTTAGTCCAGAATGATAGTGCTTTAGAATTATAAATAGAGGTCTTAATTGATTGTGTTGTTGTTCTGTGTGTGTTCTCTGGGCCGCATGTATCTTCTTTCAGTATAATCTGAGATATTTAATTTAAAAGCATTATATTCTGAGATAAATTTGTCTCCCCCATTGAGCTTTTGGACCTCTGAATCGCATTCTAAAACATTAAGAAAACCATCCCCCCCAAATTAAGTCAATATTGTGTCTTGGGGGTTAATATTTTAAGTAGTTTAGATGTATAATTTTTGGTCTCTTGCATATTATATAATTTGGCATGTTGTGATGAATATTTATGGTGAGCATGACTAAATTCAGGGTTATGTTGGAAAAGCAATCCCCACCCCCCAACTCCAAAATAGAATCAACTTTTTAAATTTGAATTCTCCAAAATAAATCTTCCAATTTAACATACATTTATTGGGTGCCTGCTTTTTGCACCATTTTACACCATGCACTCCATTGAATAAGAATAGTAGGTAAAATTATATGTGCCTTTTAAAATTTTACAAAGAAGAAAGCTTGTAGGCTATACATTTTTACTACTAATACATGTTTATCTTCTAGGTTGAAATTGGGCAAAGATTAGATACCGATTTAGACAGGTGTTCTTGAACACCACTGAAAACACAATTCTGACAGTATTTCATGACAGTAAGTATGTTTTACCTTTTTGGTTGTTAATTCGATTGCACAGTAATTAGCTGGAAACAAATTATAACTGATTTTATATTGGAGATTTCCTGATAGGATGAATGCCTTTCAAGTCTAGACAGACAGTACTTATACTTATTCTCGATGCTTCCTTCCTTTTAGTGACTTGGCACGTAGTGTTTTCAGTGGGCCCCTAAGTGTTGTAAAAGCTACAGGATAAAAAGCTTGTCCCAGCTCTTCAGAGGCTGTTTATCTGGTAGGGCTTTAGTCGAATTGAATACTTCGAGGACAGTTATTATGTGCGGAATGGCAAGTGCTGGTTGTAAGAATAGTAGGAGTGCACAGATGAGAGGTGTGGTAAGCCTGGGTAGTGGAGATGTCATGGAGGGAACCTGTAGGCCTCCACAAGAGCCTTGAAGAATGAATGGGATTTGGATACAAAAGAATGAAGATGAGTAACTTATTTATGTTTAGGGAATGGAGAGTAGATCTGCATGGTCCAACTGGGGATTTCACAGGATAATCCAATGAAGAGATGCCACTTGGCCTGTCTGGGTGCTTAGTACTGGATCTGCTACTGGATCTGTGACATCAGGCATGTCACAATTTCCTTAAGCAGCGATTGCCTCACTGCTCAAATAAAAGAACTGCATCCACTGATCCCCGAGTAAGGCACATTCTAGCACTAAGATTTTTATCAGCTCTTAAGATAGAGTAGGTAGGTTAAGTTGGGGATCCATTCTTTATGCCTGGAAAGAATAATGAGAACTGTATTTGAAGGGACAATAATCATACAAGGTTTCATTTGTTGAGTTTTTACTACGTATCATGCTCTTTGCTAAGTGCTAAAAAAAAAAAAAAAAAAAAGGCACAATAACTTCACTTTTCATAGCAACCCCATTTTAAAAATAGGGAGACTGAAGCACAAAGAGGTTGGTACATAAAGACATACAGCTAGTAAGTGGGTGGCCCAGCTTCAAACTCAGGGTCTGTTGTAAGAGCCAGTGTTCCATCACTGCCTCCTGGTAAGATGTATCCGAAACCAGGTGCATTTCTCACCATTTCACAATATTGTCCTTGTTTGAGAAGCAACTTTAAATGTTTTCAATATGCAGTCAGTAGACTTCGAATTTAGAAGGGGCAAATTAAAGATTTAGCATAAGGACTACTGGAAAAACTATCAGGAACAAATACTGTAAAGTACTGGCATCTGACACTCTGGATTTTAGTCCCATGTACTGGGTCCCCTTCACAGGGTTGTGAACTTTGCCTGAGATATTTAGAAAGTGTTCAATAAATGTTAAACTTATTAAAGAGAGCACTGTTTACAACAAATTATTAGTATAGTTTAAATGAAAAAATTAGAATAAAAATTTATTAGCTTAGCCAGCTGACCATTAATTTCACATATTTTAGAGAACACTGTTTTCAACTAAATAATTAGAATAGTTACTAAATTAATTTAATGAGATTTAATTACTCTTTGTTCATAATTACCAGTTCCCTTAAACCTAGCGATTCATCATTTTACCCGTTCTCTTCATTTTCCTACATGCTGTTCCCTTTTTGCTGTCTGCACGAGACTGAGTACTTTAGCTTCTCTGTTCTTGTTCCGGGCCTGTAAGTGTCACAGTAGACATACTGGTCCCACTGTAGTCATGGTCACCAACGTCAGCCAGGCTCTTGTCACTGCCCAGCACTCACGCTCTTCCTTTCCATTCTCTCAGTGGTGGCCATCTGTCTCCCCGGCTGTAAGAATCCAGCTTTACCGTTGGCTCTTCCTCCAGCTCTGGTTCAGCCAGTTACCATGTCTGCTGCTGTAACCTACTGCTAAAATCTCTTCAGTCTCTCTCCATCTGCAGATACTTGGCATGACCATCATCTTGCCTGAATTCCTGCCCTGACTGCAGCATTGTGGTTCTTACTGGTCTGCCCCCTTCTCGCTCCCCCTTCAGTTCATTTTTGCACTGGACTGTAGCCAGAGTGATCTTTTAAAAAAGAAATCTGATTTGCCTCTTTGCTAAAACTCTTCTTGGATTTTTTTTTTTTTAATTCTCACCCAAGGACATTTTTCTGTTTTTTGTTCAGGTAGAGTGGGAGGGAGAGAGAGGGAGAGAAACATCGATGGACACATCAAGTGGCTGCCACCCGCACGACCATCCAGGGCCGGGGACAGACTGCAACAGAGGTACATGCCCTTAGTGGGAACCGAACCCGGGTCTCTCGGGACCGCAGGCCGATGCTCTAACTGCTGAGCCAAACCAGCCAGGGCACTCTTCTTGGATTTGCTCGTGTCCACAGGCACTGCTTGATCTAGCCCCTACTTAGCTCGTACTAATCCACCAGGACTGTGTTTCCCTACTTCCTCTTGCTGGAACATTCTTTTCTCATCTTTCCTTGCCTGACTGATTTCTGTTCATCTTTTAGTCTCAGTTTAAATATTATTTCCTAAGACAGCCTTCCCTAACTCCTCAAGACTAGTGAGGTCCCTTTCGAAATAAACTCCCAAAGCATATAACAAAACATCTTTGTTTTCCTTAGCACTAACAATTAATTATTTAATAGCTATATATAACATTTACTGAGTACTATTGTACGACGCTGTCTTTACATGGTAAGTTCTATTCTCATTCTACTTGCTCAAGGTCTCATGACCAGTAAGTGGAAGGGAATTCAAACCAGGTGATCCAATTCAGTACCTGTTCTTGAAAGTACTGATAGGCTATGCTTGCCACCCCTTCCCCTTGCCCCCAGTTTATGTAGCAATTGTCTTCTCTGCAAGATGAGGGCAGAGGCTTGTCTGTGCTGTTGACTGCTTCACCACCAGCACATAGCACGGACCTGTTAAGTACTAAGTGTTTATTTGGTAACTGTTTGTTGACTGGCTTACCTACAATCCATAATCTATTTTGTAAATTTTTATAGGATGTTTTAGACCTAGAAAAAAACCTTTGGGATATATGTAACAAGTTTTTCCCGTCATTCCCTATATATGGGTAGCATATTTTAAGCATCAAAGATGAGGCTAATTTATTGATTGGAAGATACTAAGTGTCTTGGGGATGGAGAGAAGGGAACACTAATGTTTGGCTTGCAGAATGGAGTAAACCCAAAAGATTCAGGAGGATGGGGGAACAAGGTTTAAAGTGTGGGGCACAGGTTGTTATGGTGGAAAGCTAGAGGGAGGAAGACAGAGGCTGTGGTGAAATGACAGGAAAGCTAAAACTTGTGGAACCAAAGACACAAACAGCTAAGTAGGTGATGGGGTGGCTTATCTTCAAAGGCAGGAGGGTGATATCTGATGTCTCCTGAGTATGTGCCAAATACTGTCCTTAGCAGGTTTCTGTTCTTTAATTCTGACAACTCTGAAATACAGTCAGAAGTATTCTTTAGAAGACTGAGTTTTCGAGGCTAATTCTGTTAATCCAAATGATGCTCTTGCTGCTCATTCCAGTGCATGACAAGATAATGAGATTTAAACTTTTTGCCTTTAATATTTTTTGTTATATGTATAAATTAATCTCCCAGATCCTGGTTATTTGAACAGGGTCCTGCAGATCAGCTAATTTAAAAAGACTCATGGTATCCTGTGGACATTCATTTTAGAAAGAATTTGTTACTGTTGTTGTTTTCTTTCCCATTAAAAAGATTTATTTTCAGTTGTATGTTCTGAAACAACCACTGGTCCTGTCTCCTGCACCTCGATCTCCCCTAGGGTATTGTAAATTCACAGTCAATTCACAGCTATTTTAATTGAGATCTTTTTTATGGTTTATAAAATCCATCATCATATTTATCTGTTAAAGATTACACTCCCTGCCCTGACCAGTTTGGCTAAGTGGTTAGAGGGTCGGTCCTCATCGGGTTTGACTCCCGGTCAAGGGCACATGCCTGGGTTGCAGGTTCAATCTCTGGCCCCAGACAGGGTCGTGCAGGAGGCAACCAATGGATGCATCTCTCACATCCATGTTTTCTTCCCTCTCCCCACTCCCTCCCTTCAGTTCTGTCTAAAAGTCAATGGAAAAATATCCTGGGGTGAGGATTAACAACAAAATCAAGATTACTCCCCTAGTAGCTTGTTTGCATTTTAGGATCGATGTAGCATTTTATATTTGGGTAATGTTCCACATTCATTTATTTAGCTGTTTAAGATGGGGAAGGTGATGTTATTTCCATTTTATATAGAAATACATTTAACCAGTAGGGATGCTTGTTTTCAGAGATCAGTAGGAAAATCAGAGTCAGAGCTCACTGACTGTTTATCAATTCTGAGAGGCCCTGGCTGGGTAGCTCAGTTGGTTAGAGCATCATCCTGATACATCAGGGTTGTAGGTTTGATCCCCGGTCAGGGCACATACAAGAATCAACCATTGAGTGCATAAACAAGTAGAACAACAAATCAATGTTTCTCTCTCTCCCTTCCTCTCTCTCTAAAATGAATCAATAAATAAAAACAGTTTTTTAAAAAATATCAGTAAAGCCCTGGCCGGTTTGGCTCAGCAGTTAGAGCATTGGCCTGTGGTCCTGAGAGACCCGGGTTCAGTTCCCGCTAAGGGCATGTACCTTGGCTGCAGTTTGTCCCCGGCCCTGGTTGGGTTGTGTGGGTGGCAGCCACTCGACGTGTCCCTTTCACATCGATGTTTCTCTCTCTCCCTCCCACTCTATCTGAACAAAAAATGGAAAAAAATGTCCTCGGGTGAGGATAAAAAAAAAAAAAATCAGTAAATAGGTACCTATACTTTCATAAATTATTAAAGGTAGGTGAATTCTGTTCTCTGCCCCCTTAAAACAACTATATAAATTATGGAAATGTATATGTATCTACAATTAAATTAGATACCTCAGTCAACAGATGCATCAAAGAAATGCCATGTTATTGAAGATTTGGAAACTAGCCTGGTATTTTAGTATTAGGTAAAAATTCAACAGATGGAAAAGAAGACGTGTTACACGAGGAATCAAATACTGCAATTAATAACATTAAGTGTGAGCTGGATCCTGGGCCTTGATGAACATTTAGGATCAAGTGTCTCTTGATTTGGCCTGAAAGCATGTATAAATTACACCTAAATTTTGCGACACTGTTTATTCAGATAATGCATTAAAAATTTTTTTACCTACAACTAGCCAGTCCCTTGGTTTTTGTTTTTTTCTTTCTCTTTTTTCAGTATTATCTGCAGAGCAGGTAGACTTTCAGGATTTGCCATGTTGATGAAATGGAAAGTATTCAATTTAAAACTAATGGTTCTGTTTTTTTCCCCAGATTTTCCCTCTTAAAATTTTTTTAGCTCTGAGCAAAATTAATTAAGCAGGCATCTTTTCAAATAGTCTTTTTAACTCTCACTCTTGCCTGTGGTTAAAGTTTTCCTATCCTTATATGCAGATCTCCAATCTCCTTGGCCTCTTCTTTTCTCATTTCTTTAGAGAATCAAAAGTTTGAGGGTAGGGGAAAGAGAAAACAAACTTTTGGCTAGAATTAGAGGTTGATGGACTTATTCACAATGTTGGGTGTACGTTTGGTTACATGGGTACAGATTGTGCAAGGAATCCATATGCTTCTTATCCTAAATGACAGGTTGAACCAAGACATTGTCTATTATGGAACTTCTGTGAGACCACAAAGAAAATTTGCAGCAAGAACAAAAGGGTTTTCTGGGAATATTAGGCTTTAGCAGGAGAGCGCTGAAAGTGATGCATATATGTAGGTGATTTTCAGGAAACTACTAATTTTGATTTTTCTTGTTGATCCAGGGGTAAGTTAGGGTATAAATCAGGGTTGCCTATACTATACTTGAGGATTATACAGTTGAAAAGGAAGAGGTGTGTGTTTTAGATTCATTCCCTTATTTTGTTGCCCTTTTGGTCTTAAGTTTATCACTTGCGGAGGATGGATAGGGGACTCTTGGATACTTGGCAGATTATCATAAGGTTTCCAAATAAAGAAATGTGTTTCTTTTAGTAAGTTCAAGCTATGAAAAATGTAATCGACCCATCCTATGACCTTTCATGAGCACTGAATCTGTTGTTTTTTTAGACAAGTTTTACTGAAGAATATTGAAAAACTTTTTCCTCATAGATGGATGGTGACAGTTCTACAACAGATGCTTCTCAATTAGGAATTTCTGCAGACTACATTGGCGGAAGTCATTATGTTATACAGCCTCATGATGGTAAGACAGCCAGTTACAACAAGTGCACAAGTAGAAACAAGTTAGGATGTGGACATCTTATTAATATGTTCTAGGTTACTTTTGTTTTTACAGGGAAATTAGCCATCTTGCATCACTGTTCAGTTAAAAAGTCAAAAAAGGTGTCCTGTGCTACTTTAATTAGCAATAGTCTTCAAAGAGTGATAAGCTGTAGAAAAGAATTCTGTAAAAGTATGCCTTTTAAAAGTTTCTTTAAACAGTTGTTATTGATTTCCTATTTGAGAATTAAATATGGAAAAATTTTACTCAGTTGATACAGTGAATAAAATAGTTCTTTAGAGGGTGAGTTGCTAGCTATTATTTTTAGTACTTATAAACAGATTTTTGTTTTTTATTCAATATTAAGTTTGAGCTATGCAGGTATTAGAATGGCAGCACTATGCTGGCCTATCAGAAATAATTTAGCTTTGTGGCATTCTGATTTGTAAGATTAAAAATGTTAAGACAGGCTTCCAGTCAAGATGGCGGGTAGGTAAACACGGTATCGTCTCTTCCTACAAACACATCAAAATTACAACTAAACTACAGCACAACCATCATTCAGAACTGCCTGATATTGAGCTGAATGGAAGTCCTACAACTTCTAAATTAAAGCAGCAGCCACACGAGACTGGTAGGAGGGGCGGAGGCAGACAGGCTGGTCCCACACCCACGTGTGGCGGATAAAAATTAGAACACCTCGCCTGGGAAGGTCCTCCCTGAGGACTGAGGGGTCCCCGTGCCACACCAGGTGCCCCGCTCAGGGTTCCAGTGCCAGGAAGAGAATCCCCATAACCTCTGTCTAGAAAAACCAGGGGGAACTGAGGCTGAGGGAGGCTGAGGCTACGGGAATCCCAGGCAGCTCCTCTTAAAGGGCCCGCGCACGGACTTACTCAGACCACTCCCTCCAGGCTCCAGCATTGGGGAGGCAGCTTGAACAGCACCAGAGACATACCAACAAGAACTGAGTTGTTTGGCATTGGAGCTGTTTGGAAGAGCTGGAGAGGCAGCTTTCTGCCTCTGGGACAACTTCAAGTGTACCAACATTCCCATCATGGGGGTGCCAGGAGGAGAAGAGAGCAAGAAATTGAAAACCTACTTGAAAAAATAATGACAGAAAACTTCCCTAACTTGGTGAAGGAAACAGACATACACGTCCAGGAAGCACAGAGAGTCCCAAACAAGATGAACCTAAGAGGCCCACACCAAGATACATCATAATCAAAATGCAAAAGGTTAAAGACAAAGAGAAGCTTAAAAGCAGCAAGGGAAAAGCAGTTCATTACCTACAAAGGAGCTCCCATAAGACTGTCAGCTGATTTCTCAAAAGAAACTTTGCAGGCCAGAAAGGAATGGCAAGAGATATTCAAAGTGATGAAAAGCAAGAACCTATAGCCAAGATTACTCTATCCTGCAAAGCTATCATTTAGAATCAATGGACATGTAAAGTTTCCCAGACAAGAAAAAGCTAAAGGAATTCATCACCAAATCAGTATTATATGAAATGTTGAAGGGTCTTCTTGAAGAAAAAGATGAAAAATATGAATAGTAAAATGGCAATAAATACATATCTGTCAACAGTTGAATCTACAAACAAAATAAACAGAACAGAAACAGACTCATAGATACAGAGAACTTTTTGTTGCTTGCCAGATGGGAGGGGGGTTGGGGGGAATAGGTAAAAAAGGGGAAGGGATTAAGAAATACAAATTGGTTGTTAGACTGACAAACCTCAGAGAGAAGGGGGAGGTGGGGCAGGAAAGATAAACTAAAGAACTGACATGCATATATGCATAGCCAATGGACGCAGACAGTAGTGTGGGGAAGGCAGGAGGGGGCCAGGAGCAGGGAGGAGGTGGTCAGTAGGTGAAAAAGGAAAGACATCTGTAATGCATTCAACAATAAAGGTAAGATTAAAAAATATATAAATAAATTAAAAATAACGTTAAGATACATTTTTGTAGAAGGCAATTAGAGGAGGACAATTACTTCATTCTAAAACATACTTAAACAAGTTAATTTTGATAACATTTTAAACACATAAAAATGTATATTGAATCAGCTTAAGTGCCTTTCCTATTTAACTCATATAAAGAATGGGAAGTTTCTTTTTTTTTTTTTTTTTTTTTTTTTTTTTTTTTTTTTATCCTCACCTGAGGACATTTTTCCATTTTTTGTACAGATAGAGTGGGAGGGAGAGAGAGGAAGGGAGAGAGAGAGAGAAACATCGATGTGAAGGGACACATCGAGTGGCTGCCACCCGCACGACCAACCAGGGCCCGGGACAAACTTGCAACCGAAGTACGTGCCCTTAGCGGGAACCGAACCCGGGTCTCTCCGGACCGCAGGCCGACGCTCTAACCGCTGAGCCAAACTGGCCAGGGCAAGAATGGGAAGTTTCTTTACAAGATAATGCATTTAATCATAAAAGGATATTATTGGTACTGTGAAAGCTTCAGTTATATCTAAATACATAATTTAAAAATTCATTTTTTATATGATCACTGATATAGCTTGTTCAAACACTATTACTATATTAGTAATAATCCAATTGAGTCAGTAATATTCAAGTCCAGTTTTTCCTTTCTATATAAATTTGGCTTTGGATAAGCATACAAACGCTCAATCCAGCAATATTCAAGGAGCCATCATCATAGGTCAAGGTCTGTAAGTTTTATAGCTCGGTCATGTGACATCTTTATGAGCACTCCTCCGTGGAAGGTGCTACCAAGTGCTAGGAAGGACACAAAGCTGACCCCTGGTCTCAAGTAGGAAAAATCTAATTGAGGGAATCAGAAATGAAAATTTCACAATGTGCCAGAGAAGGTGCAGAGAGGCACTTGTGTGTGTGAAAGGAGAGAGCACTTCTGGAAGCGCTGTGAGAGATTTTGAGCTTTTTGGAGAATGAGCAGGTGGGATTGGAGTAGGCAGAGTTGAGGACCAAAGTGTGTTCTAGACAGTGGGTTTGAAATTATGAGTAGGTTGAGCTCTGGCCCTGAGAGAGTGGTGAAAAGAACTACTATCCTAATCTCTAAAGAGGGTTAGGAAATGAGCAGAATGGTTGTCATCTTAGATCACTGTAGACAGTCTTTCTTCCCTACCTTGAAGTAAAACTTATGAGAAGCCTTAAACTAAATTATTTTTATTTCTTTAGATACTGAGGATAGCATGAACGATCACGAAGACACAAATGGTTCAAAAGAAAGTTTCAGAGAACAGGATATATATCTTCCCATTGCAAATGTGGCAAGGATAATGAAAAACGCCATACCTCAGACGGGAAAGGTAACGTGGGGAGGACAAGCTTAAATAGGCTCTTTGGGGGGTGGGGAGGATGTAAAACTACATGAGCACATAGTTTATGAGTACAGTTAGCTATTGATTTCAGTCTTTCAGCAAATCAAATATTTCTTTCAGTTCTAATACTTACTTATGGAACTATGTTCCATATTCAGTTCTGTCATGTCCCCAAAATGTGTCCCCTCCTCCACCTATTAGAAGCAAATGAAATATAAAAATCTTAAAAAATAGGTGCATTGTCAGAATTGAACCGGCAACCCTTGGTCCTCAGATCAACGCTCTAAGCACTTAGCAACACCAGCCAGGGCATAAACAACTATTTTTTAAATTTATTTTATTTTTTTTATCCTCACCCGAGGATATTTTTGCATCCATCTTGATAGAGCGGGAGGGAGAAAGGGAGGAAGAGAGAGAGAAACATCAATGTGAGAGAGATACATCGAGTGGTTGCCACCCACATGACCCCAACCTGGGCCAGAGACAAACCGCAACTGAGATACGTGTCCTTAGCGGGAACCAAACCCAGGCCTCTCTGGTCTGCGGGCCAAGCGCAGCCAGTCAGGGCAACAACTATTTTCTTTTTTTTTTTTTTTAATCCTCACCGGAGGACATTTTTCCATTTTTTGTTCAGGTAGAGTGGGAGGGAGAGAGAGGAACAGAGAGAGAGAGGGAAACATCGATGTGAAAGGGACACATCGAGTGGCTGCCACCCGCACAACCGACCAGGGCCGGGGACAAACTGCAACAACTGAGGTACGTGCCCTTAGCGGGAACCGAACCCGGGTCTCTCAGGACCGCAGGCCGACGCTCTAACCGCTGAGCCAAACCGGCCAGGGCAACAACTATTTTCTAAAAAAATTTTTTGTCATCATCTTATGTGAGAAAATATTTTTTAAGTTGATTTTTAGAGAGAGAGGAAGGGAGAGAAACATTGATTAGTTGCCTCCCATAAGCACCTTGACCAGTATTTGAACCCACAGCCTGGGCTTGTGCCCTGACTGGGAATCAAACACAAAACCTTTTGGTGTACAGGACCATGCTCCAGACAAATTGAACCACCTGGCCAGGGAAAAACAACTGTTTTTTATAAAATTATAGATAATAACATACATTTAAATTCAACTGGTATTTTTTTAAGTAGTTTTGTTAGAACAGCTTTAAAATCTCATTGTCACTGTACTCATCACTTGGTCTTAAATAAAATTCACACTTTATATATTTTATATTGCATAATCAACTTTTCTGTCATTTTATTGTAGCTTATAAAGTACGTAAGAAAGTAATAAATTTTATAAATTCATTATTAAAATACATCACCCAGCCTACAAGTTCGTTTGAGAGGTCCTCGTTGTTTTAAGGGGGGCGAGCACAACTGCTGCTTATGGCTGAAGGAGGTGAGGCCTGCGCTGTCCAGCAGCACCGCCCCAGCCACAAGCAGGCGTTGAGCAGTTGAAATGTTATGGAGCGAATTGAGGTGTGCTTGTACAGGTAAACGTACACCAGACTTTAAAACTTGTATGAGCCCTGGCTGGTTTGGCTCAGTGGTTAGAGCGTTGGCCTATGGTCCAGAGAGACCAGGGTTCGAATCCCGCTAAGGGCATGTACCTCGGTTGCAGTTTGTCCCTGGCCCTGATTGGGTCGTGTGGGTGGCAACCACTTGATGTGTCCCTTTCACGTCGATGTTTCTTTCTCTCCCCCCCCCCCCCCACACACACTCTATCAGAACAAAAAATGGAAAAATGTCCTCGGGTGAGGATAAAAAAAAAAAAAAACTTGTATGAAAAAAAGAATGAAATATCTCAATTAAAAAAATTTTTTTTTATTATTTAGAGAGAGAGGAAGGGAGAGGAGAGAGAAACATCGATGAGAGAGAACATCAGTTGGCTGCCTCCCGCATGCCCACCACTGGGGATTTGGCCCACAACCTGGGCATGTGCCTTGACCAGGAATTGAGCCGGTAACCTCTTGGTGCATGGGTTGACGCTCAATTACTGAGCTATACTGGCCGGGTGAAAATATCTCAATTTTTAAATTAACTTGTGTTTAAAGAATACTTTAGGTTTATTGGGTTAAATAAAGTGTAATTAAAATTAACTTACCTGTTTCTTTTAACATGACTACTAAACAATCTAAAGTTCTATATATAGCTCTCATATTATATTGCTTGACTGCCTTATGCAACTCTTGTTTACTTTTCTCCTGGATGTCACATAGGCATGGGGATGAAAGGCAGTATGTTTCAGCAAGGATTTTGAGTGTTATTCCTGTTAGAAGTGGCTTTGGAATTGCATGATTTAGTCCATTAGAGTTTTACTTTCAAACCCCAGGCCCTTACGAGAAATAATTGTTTTTATGAAGTGTGCTTCTTTAGGTAGGCTTTTTAATAAACTCTAAACCTATACCTGACACTTGGTATCTTCAATAGGAAATAGTCACCAGATGTCATTATTTCACTCCCTTGTAAGCCTTATGTGAATTCAGTGTTCACCTTTTTAAATTCTGGTGTCCTCATTCATGGAAATGGTAGCGCAGAGAGCTGGTACCTAAGTCTGTAGCCCACTACACACCTAATTACATCTGTTTTCTGTGAATAGTTGTCAAAGCTTCTCTCGCTTATATTTGAGTTTTTAATTCTCATTCTGAGGATTGAAATTTTAATAGCACAAATTGTGTTATTAGCATATATTTCAAAGATTAAAGGTTAACAGTCGTAAACTGAAGTTTGTATTCTTCTGATGAGCCTTTTACTTTTGCAGGTTGTTAGGCAGATGATGATTATATTCCTGCAAATCTACCTATGATTTTTCTCTCCAGATTGCAAAAGATGCCAAAGAATGTGTTCAAGAATGTGTGAGTGAGTTCATCAGCTTTATAACATCTGAGGCCAGTGAAAGATGCCATCAGGAGAAACGGAAGACAATCAATGGAGAAGATATTCTCTTTGCCATGTCTACCTTAGGCTTTGACAGTTATGTAGAACCTTTAAAATTATACCTTCAGAAATTCAGAGAGGTAAGCTTCCATTATGCCTTTAAGAAAACAAGGTACACTATTCACTAGCTTTTAAAATGTATTATTAAAAATTCATTTTATAGCAAATTATGTAACATTTCTCAGATGTATGTAATCACGTTACTGTACTTAAATAGTAAATCCTTTTTCCTTTGTTTATTAATAATGGCAGCATACTTATGTAATGATTAAGAACGTGGACTCTGGAGGGTGAATCCCAGCTTCACCACAAGTGAACTCTGTGACCCTGGACAGATTGTTTAACTACTTTAGGCCTTGGTTTCCTGGTCATAAAGTGAGACTAATAATAGTACCTGCCTCCCTGCATTATTGAGAGGACTAAGTAGAACAGTCTATGTACTGCACTTAACTTGGCATATAATGAATGCTCAGTTATTGTTATTGTTATTGTTATCAATTCGCAAGAGGTAGCACCTCAAAGCTTGGGGCCTTTTAGATAAGAAAAGTAGGGAATTATAACTATATTCCTTTCTTATTGATTGAATTCTTCTACACTTCCTAGTTAGTTTATCCTTGCCTATGAATTTTGTGAAAATGAGTTCAGATCAGGGTATTTATTTCCATACTACAACGTGAGTGTAAGATTCACATTGCTTTCCAAATATTTTCTTAGTATCTTTAGTGTTAGGATACCATTAAATTAGGGATATCTGTGTGGAATGATTAGGAAGAGAATATGTAAATTCTTCACAGTATTTTTCCAAATATTCAGCGTTATAGAACCTTAGAGTGGTTGGTAACATAGAGGTTTTTGTCCAAACTGTAATTTTGATTTAGAAATTTTAAACTCCATCTACCTGAGGAAAATAAAGTCCTAGAAAGGTAAATAAATCCTCCTCCCCCCTATCTTAGTTCATGTAATAAAGGTGTTTGTTTAAAAAAAAAAAAAGAGCCCTGGCCGGTTTGGCTCAGCGGTTAGAGCGTCGGCCTGTGGTCCTGAGAGACCCGGGTTCGGTTCCCGCTAGGGGCACGTACCTCGGTTGCAGTTTGTCCCCGGCCCTGGTCGGTTGTGCGGGAGGCAGCCACTCGATGTGTTCCTTTCGCATCGATGTTTCTCTCTCTCTCTCTCTGTTCCTCTCTCTCCCTCCCACTCTACCTGAACAAAAGATGGAAAAATGTCCTCGGGTGAGGATAAAAAAAAAAAGAAAATTTAAATCCTAAACTTGCTGTTACAGTACTGCCCAGTTGGCTGAGAGCTGTATATATAATTGATAAATTAGATTATTTGTAGTAGATTCATAAGCTGAATTACTTATAGTATTTTACAGACTATTTCATCTGTAAGTAGAGTTCTGTTTTCCTTTTGATGTAGTGTGGAATTAGAATAATTTCTTTAATTTTACCCACAAATTTTTTAGATTTTCTAGGTCATTATTAAGACTGTCTTGTGATGATTACTATTTCTATAAAAAAGTTAGCATTTTGAAGGACCTCTTCATGTGTAATTAACCAGAAGTGTTGATAAATACTCTGTGTAGTGTTTGTAAAAATGGAAGCTCCTAATTTTAGGAATATGTTCTCATTTAGAAACTTACTGAATAGCAATGATTATTTGTTTGGTTCTCCTTCCCCAGGCAATGAAAGGAGAGAAGGGAATCGGTGGAGCAGTCACAACCGCAGATGGACTAAGTGAAGAACTAACAGAGGAGGCCTTTAGTAAGCAGTGTTGTGATACGTTTATGCAGCTGACTGTCTGTAGTGGTACTTTAGGAATATCAGCACTGAGTGTTTTGACATAGGACTGTCTTGAATAGTTGCTTAGTTAGTGTCTGTATATTTCAAGTCAGTACGGGCTAAGTGTAAAATTTAACTTCTGCAGACATAATCTTTCTCCAATAGTTCTGATTGCCATAGTCCCCGCTTTTTTGGTTTAAGATTCACACAAGATAGGAATGTTGAGAATTGCAGTTTGCAATATAAAAATCTTGTGATTTAAATAAAATTGAACTGGTTTATTTTTTTTAAATTGAGTATCATATTGTCGTATGGTAAAATAAAAGGTCTATAGTGGTTATTTCTCATATAAACTTTATACGCATATATTTTATATTTCTCATATGTAAAATACATGCTGCTTAGTTATATAACGTTGCTTCCAGCTAACCCTCATAGTGTAGGTCTACCTGCGAATCAGAAACTCAGTTCTGCAGATTTCTACACATGAGTAGTTAGCTTAAATACACTGTAGAGAAATGAAGATTCAGAAAATAAAAATGCTATAAAAGAAATGTGCATTTTAGGAAGATTTTAAAAAAATATATAAGTATGGGCCCTGGCCAGTGTGGCTAGGTGGATAGAGCGTCTTGGCTCGTACACAGAAGAGTTGAGGGTTTAATTCCCAGTCGAGGGCACATAACTGGGTTGCAGGTTCAATCCCCACGGGCCCTGGTCCCAGTGTGTGCAGGAGGCAACCAAATGATGTGCCCCCCCCCCCCCTTAAAATCAATGGAAAAAATATCTTCAGGTGAGGATTAACAACAACAAAAAGTTAAAAAAAAAAAGAAAATTTGGGGGTTTATCATTTGGCCCAAGATTACATTGATAAGTAGCAGAACTGTAATGAGACAGTTCAGGTCAAAAAAGTCAATGCAGGTCTTTTCTCACTTTAACTTTTTTCTGTCTTTTAGCTAACCAGTTACCAGCTGGCTTAATAACTGCAGATGGCCAACAACAAAATGTTATGGTTTACACAACATCATATCAACAGGTAGAGTACCTTCTTTGTATTTTAAATTATTTTTAAAACTGATTAACTTTTTAAAAGCTAATTGATTTTGATCATAGGTTGTTAATTTCAACACATTATTATTATTATTATTATTATTATTATTATTAACCTGATTTAAAAAAGGTTAAATAGCTCTGGTCGGTTTGGCTCAGCAGTTAGAGCGTCGGCCCATGGACCAGTGAGTTCCAGGTTTGATTCTGGTCAAGGGCACGTACCTCAGTTGCGGTTTGTCCCTGGTCTGGGTCGTGAGGGAGGCAACCAGTCGAGGTGTCCCTCTCATGTCGATGTTTCTCTCTTTCCCTTTCCCTCCCTCTTTCTTCCTTTCCCTCCCGCTCTCTCCCTCCCACTCTATCTGAAGATAAATAGAAAAATATCCTCAGGTGAGGATTAAAATAACAAAAAATAAATAAAATAAAAAAGGTTAAATACTGTTTTCTCAAATATATATAACTATTTGGTATTCTTTTAATGGTTAAAAATATATATACACACATGTTCATATTTTCACAGAAGATTTATAGAAAGATACATAAGAAATTGATAAAGTAGCTCCCTTGGGTAGAGAGTAGAGATTTGGGGAGAGAAGTAGACTCATTTTTCATCTTCTGTTGCTTTTTATTTTTTATTATTGTTTTTATTCATTGAATGTTTATAATATGCATGTTATTATTAAACTAATTTTTCCTTAATTCTTCTAATATTAGATTTCTGGTGTTCAACAAATTCAGTTTTCATGATCTGAAGAAATGGTGGAGTGTGGAGTATAGAGAAGCAAGTCTGCACGATACCGAGGCTGAGGCAGCAGGAAGGACTGGAAGGGTGTCTCTCTGTACGTTAAATAGCTGTAATGTAGCTTCCTGATGCTTGACTAATTGAGGTGTTAATTCTGACTTGAGAATCTTTTTCATGAATGATTTTAAAGAAAAATTTGGATTTTAAAGGTATTAAAATATTTTTGTTTTGTACGAGAGTTTGTTGCTCTGTATGACTCCTGTATGCATTGTATATTGCAATTTATTACTGTCAGAGATTTGTAGACAGTTTCTTATTTTCATATTGAATCATGTTACTTTTGTAATTCAAGTAAGCAGCTGGGTTAATTCATGATGTTTACCCTTTTAATAAAATATAAGGGTAGAGTTCATTTTGAATGCAAGTTGCCTTTATTATAAATTTGAGTTTGTCTTGGTTATATAATATCTTGCATGGTAACCTAGCTAGATTTTTGGCATTTGCCATATTTATTAAAATTAATTTTTTGTAAAACATTCATAGCTGAAGCAGCACCATTTTTTAAAAATGTAATTGAAAAATTGTGTGAATGCAGAAGCAAATATTGTCTGCCCTATTAAACTTTGTGCCCATTAACAGTGTTTACACTGTTCATGTGCCTGTTAAGATAATTTTTGCTTATTGGAGCTTTTGTTAAGACTACACTTATTTATTATGAGTGTTGGAATTCATTTAAGTTAATGTAGTCCTAGTGCTCTTGAAATGGTGCCCCTTTCATTTTGTGTATGATTTTTCCAAAACATATCTTCAAATACCATAGTATCCCTCCTCTCTTCCAGAAGAGGAATTTTATAGTCTGATGGTAAATGTCCTCATTTTACCTTTTTAATTGAAGTGTCAATTCCCTATTATACTATGGGAACCAAGAAACATCAGACATCACTGTCTGTATACTGGCATCTTTTGCATGGGCGAGCGAATGAGATGAAGAATTGAGTGAGTGCTCTGAATGATGTGAAACAGAAGCCCCAACTTCTAGTGTGCTGTCTCAATCTTTGCAATAAACTAAACTTAGATAATATAACTTTGTATAATTTAGTATTATGTACTTAGGTTGTTCCTTTTTTTTTTTAAAGTGAGGATTTGTATTCTTTCATCTTTTCTTTTAGGTGATAATTAACTTGAGTGTGGTTATATATTATAAGTAATTGCTATTGTACAGTTTGCCTAAAAGGGAGAGAGTTTGCGTGAATGTGATCTTGGAAGGACACTCATGTATAAGGTAGAAGCAGTTTCCCAGATGCAGGCTGAACAGAAAACATTTACTTTGCCAGAAGGCACCTTTGGGAGCATATTTGGGCTAATCTGAGGTTAATAACTCCCTTCCTACCCCTCCCATTTAAAAAATCATCATCATAGAGTTCAAATAAGAAAAGAAAAACAACGGGAGAGGAGGGGTGGTTAAACAAAACCAACCATTATCCTACTATGTTGAAATAACCCGTGTTAATATTTTGTATCATTTGTCCTTTTACTTTGCTAAATATGTATATTTTTATACAAATAGGCTCATACTTGCTTGCATACTGTTTCATAACCTGCTTTTTTTCACTGAATATATTGTGAACATCTTTTCCAGGTTATTAGTCTTCTATTTTTATTCCTCTATTCTGTCATATGGCTGAACCATAACTTATTTAATCCTCTATAGGACATTTTGACTGTATACATCTTTTCACAGTTATAAATAACACTTCACCAAACCTTGTGTATATCCATGACTGTTTTCTTAAAGAAGTTGAATTGCTGGCTTAACAGATATACAAACTTTTTAGGCTTCTGATACTTACATGAGAGTGTATTTTTTAAATATCTTCCATTTGATCCAGGCAGTATGTCACTATATAATTGATAAAAAGCACTTGGTCTTTGGTTATCAGATTCTTTCTCTAAAATTAGTTTAAAGATTGGGTTACATTTAAGAATCAAGAAAAATTAGATGATTTTATAATTTATATCAAATATATACCAAATCATTTCTAAATTTAATAATTCGCTGGTAGTACTAAAAGCTATAAAGTAGGTAAAATCAGGTCAGCTTAGGGTTGTGTGGCTTCATGCTCTGAAAGAATCTTAGCATTCTGCATGTGTCAGGTACATAATACCCTTCTATGCATGTGAGAGGTAGTGATGACTTCTTTCCTGGCTTATGTTGCACCGAACTGAATGTCATGTTTTCTTTCTCTCTGGAACTTTGTAAGTATATAAGTTCCTACACTAACCTAAAAGTGTGTGTTTTTAAAAAAAAAAAAATAACTTTGTACATACTGGTTTTATGAATATCTAAGAGAGAAATGGGCTTCAGAGACTGTCATAGATAGATTATATATAATAATTAATATATAAATTATCTATTTCAGGAAGAACAAAAATATGCATTTAAAATAGACTAGCTTGCCCTGGCCGGTTTTGCTCAGTGGTTAGAGTGTCAGCCTGTGGACCAATGAGTCACAAGTTCAATTCCAGTCAAGGGCATGTACCTTGGTTGCGATTTGTCCCTGGCCCTGGTTGGGGTCGTGTAGGAGGCGGCTACTCAGTGTGTCCCTTTCACATTGATGTTTCTCTCTCCCTCCCACTCTATCCAAACAAAAGTGGAAAAATGTCCTTGGGTTAGGATAAAAAAAAAAACAGACTAGCTTTTGGTGTAGATCTTACCCAGTATCACGTATTTGAGTGACTCAGAAGTATATTTTATTTTTTAAATTTTTTATCCTCACCCGAGGACATTTTTTGTTCAGATAGAGTGGGAGGGAGAGAGGAAGAGAGAGAGAGAGAGAGAGAGAGAGAGAGAGAGAGAGAGAGAGAGAGAGAGAAACATTGACATGAAAGGGACACATCGACCAACCAGGGCTGGGGACAAACTGCAACCGAGGTACGCGCCCTTAGTAGGAACTGAACTCGGATCTCTCTGGATCGCAGGCCGACACTCTCAGAAGTATATTTTATCACATAAAGCAACAAATACTGTCTTGTTTCAAAGTGTTCATAAAATAACTTTCCCTAAGAGAAAAAAAATACATATTTTAAAAAAATCTTGAACAACAAGATTTCACTTTTAGCAAATGGTAGAAGCCTTTTTTCCCCCATGTTTCATGTCTAATTGCTAACTGCTGTAGAAATTCTTTTAGTAGAAGCTTCAAAATTATATTCAGTTAGCATTATTAAAGGTAACTGGTATCCCTTTAACCCACCAAGGCAATCCAGAAAACAGGCAAAGAGGCATGTTTTTGAAGAAAGGAAAATATTAAATATTATACTGTAGGTGAAAAGGAAATAAGAAATTGCTTAAAATAGCATCATCCCCACATTAAGCAGGTGAAAGTCTCTCTGCAGTCAAGTGTCTCCAGTATAATGAGGTAGTGAGGGGTTAGATAGGAGCTACTAAAGAAGCTATAGCCTCAAGGCTGTGTTTTTATTTATACCTGATTTTAAGGATTTTAAAACCATAAGGCAGAATCCCTTCAAAGCATGTGCCACAGGTGGCACTGGGAGGGAGTCATTTCTCTGGCTTCTGGTCGTTACTTTCAAGATGCCGAATAGTACAGTTACAGCCCTCTCTGACTTACCTCCAGAAACAGATTTCTTTTGCACTGCATATTAAATGATACTTGTGCAACGCAATGTGTTATAAGAACTCCTATGCAAGGTTAATGCCAGCAAGTGTGCCCAAAAAGTAAAGTCAGTGGTGGCTCTGTCTGTAGTAACCTCTGATGGCCATGGGTTAGTTTTAGGGGGTGGAAGTTATAAGTTGATAGGTAACTCCTACATCTTCCACAAAAATACATAAGATTAAAAAATTTGGACACAGCATAAACTTTTGCCTCTTTAAGTGTAAGTTAGGTCTTCTTTGAGTGTTCTCTAGAACAAAATAACAATTTTGTGTCTTACTTTTGCACCTGTTTTCCAGAGTTCAGTTTCAGAGGACGTGTGAATGAAAAGATATTTTTGAACCTTAAATGTTGGGTAATTGATGGAAAACAAGTTGTTGGGCAAAGATAAGTCATCACAGACAGTGCCTTTCAGCCAGGACAGGTTTGCCCAGAGGTTTATTCATGCATATATAATCCTAATGCTAGGTTTACAAGAAACCAAATCCTTTTTTCAGGCCAAAGCAATGACTAATCAAAGAACACAAAGGAGTAATATTTGGACTAACAGCCATTTAAGGAAATGGCTGAGCTGTTTCTTTGGAGAAAGAATACAACTTTAAAAAAATGATTTCTTGTCCTGGCCAGTTTGGCTCAGCGGTTAGAGCGTCGGCCTGTGGTCCAGAGAGACCCGGGTTCAGTTCCTGCTAAGGGCACATACCTCGGTTGCAATTTGTCCCCAGCCCTGGTTGGTTGCGGAGGTGGCAGCGACTTGATGTGTCCCTTTCATGTCGATGTTTCTCTCTCTTCCTCTCTCTCCCTCCCACTCTATCTGAACAAAAAAGGGAAAAATGTCCTCAGGTGAGGATTAAAAAAAAAAAAGATTTCTTTCTGTACATTTCTAAGCTTGCAAGTAGCAGTTGCATAAGAGTGCTATCATTTTGTGTGTTTTTTAAAAAATATTTTCTTTACTGATGTTAGAGAAAGAGGAAGGGAGAAATAGAAACATCGATAAGAGAGAATATCTATTGGCCGCCTCTTGCACGCCCCCCACAGGGGATGGGGCCCACAACCCAGGCATGTGCCCTGACCGGAAATCAAACCAGCAACCTCTTGGTGCATGGGTCGACGCTCAACCACTGAGCCACACCGGCTGGGCAAGAGTACTATCTTGCAGGACAGTATAAAGCAGAGAGCTTGGCACCCTGCAATTCTGTATAGACTACAAACTACCATGTTTCCTACTTATATCAATGCCAAAGTAAAGCAAAATTTTAATTTAGACTTCATTTCCCATTGTAAGGCAGTCTAGATACCCGCAATAACTCTCAGTTCACCAAACCAAATGCTGGATAAAATATAAACAATGCAAAGTAATAATAATACATAATATCTTTTAAAATGTTAAAATATATCACTGAGTTGACATGAGAGTAAGTCATCACAAAACTCTAAAACTGAAGTGAAAATATGAAACCTGTGAGGTAATTCTGTTCAACTCTGGAAACCGTGAAACAGCGGTCGGGGGGGGGGGGGGGAGTTTGAATCTAAAGCCTGAGGCTCCCTGGAGTCTAGAAGGGCCACCACAGAGAAGTGTCCATTTCGGTGCTGGGTGGAGAGGGATGAATCACCAACACCCTCAAGTTCACACAGGCCAGCCCTCAAGGTTTGTGATCTGAAATCCCAGAACCTTCAAGCTGATAGTGTTTTCAGGTTGGTAGCCCCACAGTGTCTGGCAGAGCAAATTCTCTCAAAGATCTCAATTTCAGTCCATGCTTCAGTTCCTATTTTCCAAGGAAAATAAGTTTAAAATATCACTGAACTCAAAGGAATATGGCACTACGAGTGAAAACAGTTTATACAACAGTGGCTCACCCACAAAGACTCTA